TGGTGCATCTGGGTAAAAGAAGAGAGCACATCCAGTTAGTCACAGTCAGAGAAACCGGACTACACTGAAAAACAGGCTGCTCTCCAACATCTATAAACAAAGGCATTGATGGCAGCAGAACAGCTGATATTTCTCTCCAGGATGGAGTCACAGCCAAACAGGAACAGACCAGATGAAGCTACTATGAGAAAAAGCAGAGAGAGCAGAACGTTAGAGATTGAACTAAGATTCTGCAGAGTGGGAGAATAGAGAGAGAATGAAGCAGAATGATGAAATAGGGGTCCCTATGTCCTCCAGCAGTCTAAGCCTATAGCGTATTAGAGCTTTACTTAAACTGGTAAATTCAGCTGCAACTTTTTTAGTTTTATTTCAAAATAACTTTTGTTTGGTTCAAAATAACATTAAACTGATCCTTTCTAAATACAACTGAAGCCATCACCTTCATTTTAAAATCAGAAGAAAATAATGAAATGGCTCCAGGGGACCTAGCAGTCATGTTTGTTTCCAGGTTTTTTTTAGTATTTTCTTCAGAGCCGGGACCAGGAGCCATTTTACAGATGACTGGAATCACCAGTGATGAAGAGGCCTTTAAAGGGTTGCAAACGGCTGTTTTCTACTTTCAGTGTGCTGTTGTTAGCTTGCCGTTTGTCCTCTGCAGGACCGGCAACAATGGGGGGAAAAGCTGCAGATGTGACAGGCGGTTCATTTCCTGATAGGATTCTACATCAGTTGTAACCCAACCTTTCTTAGACACAACATTTTGTCTACTGGAGTTAGTAACTTTACTGTGGCGCCTGTCAGCGGGGGCGGGATCAGATGGAAAGTTACCATTTTTTATCTTCAAGGTTGGAAGTGAGAATCAGTTTGGATGTGAGCAGGTTGATCTGCAGCAGCTAGTGTAAATCAGAGGAAGGCTGTGGGATAAAATATTCAAATTAACCTATAAAACTACTGTTGATGTGCGAAATCGTTATTTTCAATTAAAATCATGTTTAATTTTTTACCCACTGGAAAAATGATAAAGCTATGCAATATGACAGTCAGATGGTTGCTGTTTGTGTTGTCAAGTGTCTGAACCCACCCTGCAGGTGTTTTGCTATGGTCACATTGTGTCTCTATTTTGGGTGGAAGTTGAAACAATGTGTTTAAGGATTGGTCTGTCTATGAAGCTTGGTGTGGTTTCTGTTTTACTGAGAGAGTTTATCCACAGTCACGACTTAGTTAATTTAATCATTGAACGGTCAGGGTTTGGTTGAGGTTTTGAGCAACCAAATGCAGAGGAAAGGAGGCAGAGGTGAGTTCTTATGGTTTTAATGGAGTTCTTAGGAAAGTGAGGCAGGAAATCCAACATAAAAATGCAAAAACTAACCAGAACCATGGAGAGATCAGGGAAAACATGTACAAGGAAAGACAGGGGACCAGCACTGAGGAACTGCACAGGGAGAGTATATATGGGAGACTGAAGAAAGACAGGACCAAGGGCGGATTTAGAAAACTATTCTTGGGGTGGCGAGAGGGGGGCAGGAATTTTTGAGGGGTGGCAGTTGTTTATACTTTATTTAATCACAGTTATCACAGTTTGGTGAGAAATAGTATGTAAAGTACATGTTTCATGTGAAACATTTCATATTAGGAATATATCATACAATGTGATCTCACTTAATAGGAAATAGAAGTATGATAACATTACTTAAGGTGGGGCATTATCACAGGAAAGGTATTAAGGTAAGACACACATGCTGAGTCGCAGATGTGTGAGATTGACTGTCAGAGAGGCAGCTTTGCAGCATTTACACAAAAAGAAACTATAGAAAGAAAAAGTTCCCCATCAGAGATCTATGGACTGAGCTGTACTAAAGTGAGCAGAACTACACAGTAGAAATAAATGGGTCAAGGCGCCCGAACAAGGTACCGGACATCTCTTTTATTGTTTACTCAGAACACACATTCACCCCATTTGTTCCTCAGTAACGACATTTTTTTGACAGATGAGGTTTTTACTGAAAAAATTGATGAGATAAACAGTAGTATGCACAATATTCACAGCAGTTAAGGCGACATGAAAGGGACATTTCATGCTGTAGATAGAGCTGTTGTATCAACAATCAACAAAAAGGCAGGTGATGTATGTTACATAAAAATCTCCACAAACCTGTAAAGAAGCAACATAAAAATACATTTTGCTCTCAGTCTGAAAAAGTACAAAACATTTTGTGATTAGGTTTATACAGGTCGTTTCTGGATGGTTTCATACTATGAAAAAAAAAAAAACCAACAATAACACTTTTTCATATTGAGCAGGATTTACACCTGTATCACATTTGTGACTTTGTTTCTCACACTTTTGGTTTTATTAAAGGTAATACATTTTCTCAGTTGCCAAAACAAAGATGTCACAAATTTGTAAAGGCTCACCAGAGAGCATAACATGACGTTACCATGCCTGTAACAGCTGAATGCTGCGATAACCATGTTGAAAACCTGATAGTCTCTTTTGTGTCATAGTTGATTGCAAATATGTCTTTATGAGTGTCTTTAACTGTTTCATCCCGTGTCTCCTTTCTACACGACCCCTGGCTCCCTCGCTTTGCGACACTCAGTTTTCAAGACAAATCAGTCTCTGATGCCGCTCTGGTGTCATCTCGTGCTGCATTCACCGCAGTCCGACATCGAGGATTAGCAGTCAGTAATTGTCAAATTAGCCATAATTTATAAGCCTCGCCACGCCTACCACCATCTGGGGTGGCAGCAGGGGTGGCAAGGCTGTCTTTTAGGGTGGCATTTGCCACCCCAGTAGATCCGCCTATGGACAGGACTAATGAGCTGATTGGGAGCAGGTGTGAAGAGAGGACTCTAGAAGGGTGGGAACTATAAATCTGATAGGATGTTTATCTTTTTATTGCTGTTTTGCACAATTTGCTTAACTAAGTATTTTTTGCTGTTAAATATTAGAGATTTTACAGATATATATTTTTATACATACATTGTTTAGATTTACTTCTATCTTTCTACCCCTTTTATAGAATATAACAGAATATAAAATCTCTTTATTGTCCCACAATGGGTAAATGTACATTCAGCAGAAAGATTATTGAAAATAGTCACACAAATGTGGACCTTAGAAACGTATAAGAATAACATAATAGGGAAGAGTTAAAAGATAAACAATAAAATACTGCAAAGTGTTTTAACAATATCAAACTGTGCACCTGGAGAATAAATAACCAATATACAGCTATGGACATTTTTACAGTAATGGATATGTAATGGCGATTGTTTGTCACACCAAACATCCAATAAAGTTCCATTAAGCCACTACTTAGGCACTTGGGTCACGTTTTCTTGACGCAGGCAAAAGAAGTTGAAGTCCAAACTTGTAGATGTTCAGTTGATTTATTTCCTATATTTTAGCAACATTACAGACTTAAAACATTGCTCTGTCACCTCTCTTGCACTGATAAAAAACCATAGGCCCCTAACCCAAAAGCCTGCTGGTCCTTACCGGGCTCCTACATTTATAGAAAGTGGACTGCTCACATTTCTTCCTGTTTTACATAATAAAGAAAGAAAAATGATAAATCAACAAAAAATAAATACACAAATTTGACAATTAACCTATAAATAAACTCTGTAAATAATACAAAAAATATATACATTTAGGAATAAAATAACAAAGTTCAAATGGACAAAGTAATAAAGAAAAATAGCTCCAAAAGGATATTTGAAAATAGCAGCAACATCAGAGATGTGCAAAATGACAGCAGCATGTTATTTAACTGACTAAGGTTTCTATCATTACATTTGCTTTTATTTGTTCATGATCCCGGAGGTTGGAACCTTTATTCCACTCTGGATTCACATTCAAATTATTTAATTTATATCCAGCTGTTTAATAAACAATCCATTAGAGTGTGCATGTGTAATAAATCAAAGCAAACACATGTATCAGATGTTTTCCTAATATTTTGAAGGTCACTCATTATATTTTCAGCGCAGTAATTTAAACATAAAAGTAAAGGACATTAGTGTCCTTTGGGCTGGATAAAAATCAGATTTAAAAAAATCTCCAGATAATGGTGAATCTAAAAAAAGAAGAGTTTGACATAAATAATATTAATATGCAAGAAATCCTTTGTTATTGCTGAGTCACGACCAGCGCACGCTCCTCGTCGTCAGCAGGGTGTCAGGCTGCTGTCAGCATCCATTTGTTGAGACGTGAGTCACCAGCCGGAGGAGGCAGAGGCTGGGGACCGACAGAAGGAAGCTGCAGAGGCTGGGGGACCGACCGAGGGAAGCTGCGCTCGGACTGACGCACTCAGGGGACACGGGTCCCTGCTGCGCTCCCTGGCTTAGCGGGACTCCTGGGAGGATGATATCCTGCTTCCCCTCATGCTGGGGATGCAAACCTGGAGCAGGTAAGATGCTGAGATTACTGCGCATCAGCTGGCACTAAATGTACCGCCACAGCTGGGGTAATTAGTCACCATGGTGATGACGTCCCTCATCCACCGTTGCTAGCCGACGTCATTTAGACACTAAACCACAAACCCGCTGCTTCAGCTCTCCTTAGTGGCGTAAAGGTGACAGTCACGCGGTTTGTCCTACTCCTGGTTAAATAAAATTAATATAGAAGGCCACGAGAGCACGTGTTGCGTTGCCTTCACGTTCCTCGTAAAGATATTATTTAAAGCAAAATATTCTAAGCAATTAATAGCTGGGGTCACAATGATTTTTGAGACGATGTATACCGGTTTATAGAATGCAAAGAGCATGATTTCAGACGTCAATACCCGGTTTAAATCACCATCATTTTTTTTTTTGATTTTTTTTTAGACAAAATCTAAATTTATCACTCAAAGAGATGTTTTTTGTTTTTATTTATGCTCTATGTACTTTTATTTTTTTTTAAATAATGCAACTAAAGTATTCAAAACCGAACATAATCCTCATTAACCAAACGCTTATCAGGATTGTATAAATTGGAGCTGTAATTTCCGAGGCGACATGAAATCCATCACGGGTGTCAAGGAGAATGGGCGGTCCGCGCGCCTGCGCCTACTTATCTAGATACACCGGCGACGAGCCGCGTTATTCTGGATTCAAGGAGCACATACAGGTAATACTTCATGCATAAATACTATGTTGTGTGTAGTAACAGGAAAGAATAACTGATTTGTGTTAATTGTGACCTAACGGCGGACTTCAAAGTAAGCGGTCCGCTGGTTTGATTAGTCTCACGTTGGTGCACGCGGCAGCAGAGAGAAGTCATTGAGCAACAGAAGCACGTGGTTCACATGGATCAGATTAGAGCTTTAAACACTCCCTTCCCTAATGTTCAGGCTGTATCTATCGGCTGCAGATCAATGAAAAGCCGGGAGGACAGACTCTGTTCTCCAACGGAAGCCGGTGAGCCTGAATTGAAGGACAGCGCGCGTGTTGCCTAATTATGCAGCTCAACAGCTGATGAGCCTGAAGTTAGACTTTAATATCCTAAAAGCTGTTAGTATGAATATGTTGGTAGTTTTTACTGTAGTTGCTGACAAGCAGTCATTTTACAGCTGTTTAAAAGAATAAATTAACATATGATGCTTTAAATTCCCAAAACCGTAAACAGGTTCAGCGAAAGCTGTGAAGAACTTTGACCCAAACTCATTAAAAACACTTAAAGTGTCAACGAATAACCTTTAAAGAACACAGGAATGTTCTGTCGTTAAAGCATCTAGACTAAATGTTATCTAACTGACTTTTAGAGCAAATTTTACTACTGAAGAATATTTTCACCTTGAAAAAAAGCAGATAAATTCTAGCCCCTGGTAGAAAAAGTGTTTTCCCATCTTTAGTTTTTAGGAAAACAACGTTGAAATTAACATAACTATATTCAGCTGTGGAGAAAATCAGTATATTGTGCAAGTTAATAAAGTATTTTGGTTTTTACAGCACTATTGATTTTGGTTCTTATGCATTTAATGTTCTTGCAGGATTATTACCTCTGCCAAGGAGTTTATGTTTTTAGGAGAGTTTGTCTGTCTGTATACAAGATAAGATGAAAAGTTATGGACTGATTTTAATTAATTATTTTACAAAAGGTGCAGCTTATGCCAAGGAACAGTTCATTTAAAGTCGTAGGGAAATCATATTTACATATCAAATCATTCTGGCTTAAACATCTATATAAATGTACTCTTTATCAGATGATATTGTCCTAAAAGTTTGTTATCTTATGCAGGCCAGTTATACGTCAGCCTGAACACCTAAATTCGGCCAATCATATATCAACGGTCATCTGTCAATCACATTTTTTTTTCGGTCATAGCATCTTGATTCATATGTTGCAGCTAATATACGTAACGGTTGAAATCAGAAATCAGAATCCTTTCCTTTCCCATTGAGTTCCGTCCCAGTGTTCACGGTGATGTATGTCTGTGTCTTCAGCAGGCGTAGAGCTAACAGAACTGGCAGCGTTGCGAGGCAAGGGCTCAAACATGTACGGCTGGAAGCCTTCTACACCAAACCAAGCTTCTGCCGCCCTGGCGTCCTCTTCCACAACATATTCATCCCCGCTTTCCTCCTCTAAATAAAAAATGGATGACGGAGGAGACTCATCCACGACCTCCGACACTAAACTCTCCTCCTCTTGCATGTTTCCGCTGTACATAGCGTTCCTTGACAGCGTCATTTCTAAGTCACCAATTTAGTGCTACTTGGTTCCAATGGAATTTACCATTGGGAACCTGCTAGCACTAAGTTGCTAACTGGTTAGCAAGATGCTTCTGACAACCAAAATGCTTGCGAACCTTCCGCCACAACAATCCCGCCCCCTTGATAATCGACCAATCACATTCACTTTATTCACTCGGATTTGGTAAATGCAGCGGTTGGAACAGCTGTTTCCCTACGACTTTAAAGGTGATAATGATCCAGATCATGTGGGAGTTTTAGCTATCGGTGTAAGTCACAATCTGGGGCAACATTTGCAGCTTGGTGGAGATCTGCTTCTCTAGTAGGTTTTCTATTTAGCTACGTTTTTATGTTTTATACTTCTTTTTTTTTTCGTGTGTGTGTCAGTGTGGAGCATGCATGTGTTTGCAGCTCGTCTGCACCTGTTAGCCACTGTAGAAATGTCCCCTATTTTATAATGGCAGAATTACTGCCAGCTATAACTGATCGATATTGATTTATAGTTTTGTATGAAATGTGATTCCAGAGGCAGGAGATTTAATGAAACTAGTGGTAATCAGTGATTTAAGATAACGGGTAATCGGTATAGTTTACTTATGTTGTCTGCGTCAGTTTTGTATGAATCTCTATTTCTGGCTTGGGCATGTATATTGTCCTTGGATTGTTGCTGAATGCTAAAACTGCCGGATTTTTTCCATCTCTCAGTCGATTTCCTGATCTGATAAATTTTTTTCATGGCATATGTTGGTATTAAAGCACTACATCTGTAACAAACTGAATTAAGGCTATGCAACAACCATAACTGCTCCAAAAAAAAATTGAGGTCCCTCTTATTGGCTTTCATTATTTGTTACTTGTAAAGTTTAGGACAGTACAATGAGGAAAAAATACAGAACAATTATTGTTGGTTTAGAGAGGTTCTCCGGAGAAAAGCTCCTCCTGTTCAGAGATGAGCGCACCAGCAAAAGTTAAAGCTGAATAAATGTGTTTAGTGTGTGTCTTTGCTCCAGCATAGCTGATTAATTGATGGCGTTACTGCTTCACAGACCTGTTGCTCAGCCGTTCGTTCAGGTCAGGTGTTTGGCTGTGAGGAGACGCCTGAAACATGCAGGACGGGGGTCCTTAGGACCAGGGTGGGAAAAACACTGCTTCAGAGCTAGATGTTCAATTTCTACATCAACAAGGCTGAGCTGATGGAGGACAGACCTCATCCTGGTTGATATGTTGTGGTTGGACCTGAAGACGGCGTTCAGTTTACCTTGGATCTCCTTTGATGGAGTGATGTAATCTTAGAGAGGATGGAGTTTCAATGTCCTGCCTGGATGTTTTGACACTTAAACTGTGTTGAAACATCCTTTCTTATAAGGTTTGAGTCAGAAAGTTTATTACTGCAGACATGAGTGCATGTGTTACATTCTTAGGAAAAGAATCAAATCAGAATTTTAATTTGGAAAACCTAAGGACATGCAAAACACTTCTATAAGCAAATACCAGCTACTTTTAAAAGCAACCCTGCATTTTGTGTTTGTCCTCTTCATAACAGTCTGTACCAATATCGGCTAATAACACAGTTTCCAACCAAGTTAAATAACTGCTGCTGTCATTTTACACATCTGTAATGTTGCTCCTATTTTCGAATATCCATTACTGTAAAATGTCCATAGCTGTATATTGGTTATTTACTCTCCAGTTACACAGTATTTATATTGTTAAAACACTTTACGGTACAGGATTTTATTGTTTATCTATTACTCTTCACTATTATGTTATTTCCATATGTGACCATTTCTTTTCTATAATCTAGTTGCTGCTGTAAACGGCAGAATTTCCCCACTGTGGGACAATAAAGGCATTTTCTATTCTATTCTTTACTTCCATCCTGTTAAAGAAGCATCGTCTCGGGGGGGGGGGGGCTGTACGATCCAAGGAGCCGTTCTAGGAGCAGAGTTAGCCGTTTTAGCCCGTTTAGAGCAGCTTGCATTATATTACCTTTTTTTTATTCTCACCACAGGTTGCTGATTATATTAATATGTTAAAAAAAAGAAATGAATAAAATGTTTTCCCTAATTGGAGTTTTGACTTCAGGTCTGCTAATAAAACTCTCCATCTTTGAAGTCAAAGTTGAAATACTAGTTGCTTAGAACTGCCTTTGATGGTTAAACAGTTAACTGAGGTGTCAGTTTAATTTCAGTTGTTAATTAAGGTTCATCTTTATTTGCTCTGCTACCTTTTATCCTGGTTTTAAATAGCTTTTTTTTTTTACTTCTATTTTGTTGTTTAATTAACTGAAAGCACTTTGAAATGTATATAACTTATCTCTACATCAGGTTGCACATACTTCTTTATATTTTAATATTTATTTGCTTTTTTTTAAAAATAAACAAGATTTTGAAATATATTTCTGTTACAATTAGAGTCCATTTATTTGGAAATGAAATGCAAAATGTGAAGAAAATGTTTAACCCTGCATTTGTTGGTATATTTATTGTTAAAGGATTAGCTAGCTCTTCATCATTTGTAGCCCAGTCATGACGAGCCATTGAGTGTCTAAAGAGCCACTTTTGGCCCGGGGCCGCAGGCTTTAGACCCCTGATATAACGTCTCTGTAATGCGCTCCAGCGTTTGACAAAACAATAAATATAATACCTGATAGATTCTACTGCTGTTCCCATGTAACACCATTTACTTTTGATGCTTAAACAGTTAAACCTTAGAGTTTAATATATGGATTGTTGTTTATGCAGAAATTGTCAGATTAAAATATGAGTTTGTCTCAAACATGTAGTTTATGGGGGGGGGGGGAAATCAGTGCATCTGATGGCTCTGGGTGGAAGGTAACGTTCCTCAGATGATCTACAGAAGATCGCCCTGACCTCATAATCTACCAATCATTAGACGCAGAGCGTCTATCAGCTGGTGTTATGTTACCAATTATCTTTATAGACTGTGACAATGTTCAGGGTCATGTTTCTGTTTAGCTTTAGCCGCACGTGACCCAGAGCGCTCGCGCTTTACGGCCCGCTAAACGCTAAAACAAATAACCCCATATAAACCGTGGATCAGATGTCTCGTTCTTTTCACTGGGATCTTTATCTTTGTTGCTCCTGTGAAATAAATTTCAAGTGGCTCCAAATTTGCTCCTGAAACGGTGTGTTTATCCTCCACATGAGGTAGTTTAGAGGCGGGTACTTTAAGTAGGGTTTTGATAAACCCTAATTGGACTGTTTTTGTTGTATTCTTTACTTTATGACACAATTAAAAGGCATCAGATTAAAATATCCTTTTTAAAATGTGGATTGCAGGCGTTTCTTAAACAGCTTTTATCTCTAAACCAGACCTATCCTTGCAGCGTTCGCTGTGTGACCTTAAAAAGTAGACAAAGTGGAGGTTAAATAAGTAGCACCTAGCCTAAACTATCGGCAGTAGACGTTCCTATCT